AATTTGTATGGCATATAGAAAAGTACTGAAGCAAAATAGCATCATTACATCTTAGGGCTACTCAGAACATTTTTCCTGTGTTCCTTCAGTTTTCAAGAAACTGGCTAAGACAGGAAAATGATTATCTAAATTAAACCAACAGAAGAAATCCTTCTGTCACTAAGAGACTGTTAACTTTCATATCCAAATAAAAAGTTAGATCTTTCTTTCACTTTAAGGATCAAGTGCTAAAGTAACAAGAAAAATGATCAGACATTCACCTCTTTCCTGAAGTTTCAGGTCTTGTTTAAGATTCCCACCACAAATAATGTCTTAATTCCACCAGGATTTGTGTCAGTATATTTTGTTAGGGCAAAGTTCACTACCAGTACTAATTGTTCTCACATAATTTTGTTTGTATTATCCTCACCAATGCCAAGCAGCAGGGAAATCTTTCAGAAATATGAAATTTAATCAGTTTCGGAATTGGCTCACTAATTCTAGATCTTCAAGAAGAAAATCTTTCTCTGTACGTAAACCATTGTCAGTGTCAAGATCAATCAGAAGTGCCTACCTTCAAAGATGACTCACAGTTTCGTCCTTTTTTTATTCCTTAAACATAAAAATACAAAATTTCTATATGAATACAGTTTTAAGAACAATTTCAAGATCACTTCAATAAAAGTGAAGCCTCTAGGAATGATGAGACCTTATCTTAAACTGGTATGCTAAAATTTTTTTTTTTTAATCATGTGGAAACATTCGCTAAGCTGAAAATGTTACACTTCATTACTACTGGCTAAATATCACTTGTAGATTAATAAAGCACTATCTGTCTGATTTAAAAGAAGAAAGTTTGAAATAATTTCTATTGTATAGTATCTTTTGATGTGTTTTGCAAGTCTCCATGTAAGTGTTTCTTTTTGTAGTAACAGTAATAAAAGCTCAACCCTAAACTCAATGTTCTACCCAGACACCATTGACAGAAACGTGTCTTGAAGTTCAACCTTCCAGCAAAGCACTAGAACAGTAAGCAAATCTCAAAGGAATAATGCTCGTTCTTCTCAACTACCTTTCAGTGTTTGGGAGAAAAGAGGATAACATTCAGTCTACATTTTGGAGTTCTTTTACATGACAAGATCCTCGACTCACCAAATTCATACATACATATGGGCATAATCTATATAATTAGATATAATAGATATAATTAGCTAAAATACACTGTGCATACTAACCTCAGAATATCTGCATCCCAGATACATTTACTTATATTCTGTAGCTGCATTTGTTCAGATAAAATTTTCAGTTGTTTTGATGCAGACTTTTTCACAAATTAACTTTATGGTCATAAATCACCTCTGATTACTTTAATAGGGTCAATTTAAATGTGAAGATGTCTTTGTAAGTTCATAAATTTTCTTGATGATTTTATGCCTGTGGCCTGTATATCGTAATTCTGACAATTCATGCACATAGCATTATGTCATAAATTACCACGTTTATTTTGGCATGAGTCTCAGTACTCATGAATACTGCCTCTATTATTTAAATATGTAGCATTTCTGAAACACAGGATTCAATATCCAAAAATAAAGGAATACTTACAAAAAAACTTTAAGTGCAGACAAGGGATGAGGTCTGGAATTTTACTAATGATTTGAGGTGCAACTCTAATTGAAAGAAAAAAAATCCATGATATCCAACTCTTTGAAGCATTCTTCAAAGTCCAGTTTAAAAGAAAATTCCCATATGAAGGACTAGATTACGCCACCTTATGCAAGATTTCTAATGACACAGAAGTGTTTCACTTAATACTTAGCTTGTTATACAAGCCTGAAGAAAAACAAGTAAACAGTAACTTTTACTTTAAAATTAGCCTAGACAAAGACCTCTCCCTTACAAAATCTACAATGTTTAAGATAAAATCTATGTAGTGTGAACTACTAATATTTTGTGTCATATTTTGTGAAAAAGTCATTAGGCTTGATTATAAACCAGATGATATGAAAAATATTACAAACATACCACACTGATATTGAACATAATTAGTTCTCAGGCTTTTGAACTTGCACACGCTTATCTTTTTACACCTGAGTGGGTCCACTGAAATCAATCATATATATCAAATAAAATTAAATTTATACAATTTATACAGGGTATATACCAAATCAAATTATGTTAGATTAAACATCAAGTGCCTAGCAAATAAAAAAACACCTTCTCTAATAAAACCATCCCATTCGATACAAAGTGACTGCATATTTTTGATATAATAGGCTGCAGCTTAATCATTTCAACCTTTAATTACTGCATCAGATAATGAATATTTTGAACATATGCTTCTCCACTCTGCTAGAAGACATGAATGAAAGAGAAACAAGTTTATATGCATGCAACTGTGTGTGCACGTTGGGGGAGGGAGTTGCAGGCTAAACAGCAAAAGGAACCAAGTGGCAACAATTGGAGGAAATGGTATCTGTAACAGCTGCTCCTTTCAGATTCCCCTAGAAGGAGACTGCCTGAGGTGGACCACAGCACAAAAGGATAAAGAAGATGAAAACTGATGCAAAGCAGGAAAATAACTGCTGAGACCCCTGAGTCTACATCCGAATAGTCCCAAGCTGTGTGGCAAGACCTCTTTAGCATGCTACAGAAGCTGGTGATGAACTACATATTACCATGAGGCAAACTGGCTCCTAGCAGTATTGTCTGCACGTTATGTGTAATGATAACCAGTAGTCCTCTGGGAACAGGATGCAATGATTTCATCTCTGTAAGCATCTGAGCTCCCCTTGGATACAGAGACCATTAAACTCAGAACAGAAGGGTAAATTTTAGGCAATGATTTCTAATTGGAGAGCGAAGACAACTTGTGCTCAACAGTACTGTCAACCGCTGATGTTTTACTGCCGTCTATATTGATCACTGTTAAGGACAAAAGGAACTAAAATTTTACCCCTTTTTCTTAGTCCCATAACACACACTGTATTTTCTGAATGAAAGTACTTCATAGTTTCTTACGCAATATTATCGGAAATGCTGTTATATTAGGAAATGCCACTATACTATAATATTATACTATTTACACTGAAAAGTATTAGTATTTTCATTACTGTTAAAATAACATTTTATACTCTTAACATAACATATCGTTCATGTTTTGTACTACAGAGACTTTCTTTGCCTTTTAACAAAAATGCACATTGCTCTTCTTACCTGTCAGGTGTTTTTGTAAGATTAAAACTGACAGACATAACCTATTATGCATATATTTTAAATTAACAGTAGGGCATTACAACATCCAAAGTTTTGGAATCTTCCTTAAAAATAATAATTCTACACCTGACAAAAAGAAATGGAACTTTCCAATGATTGCAGTAACTTTTTGGCAGGTGGCACGGGGGAGCAATGAAGGGAAAGGAGAAGCTATAAAACGTAAGCAAAACGGATCCTGAGGAAGCAAGGCCAGGACCTCTAATATTTTTGTCACTTGCAAGGGTAGTTTGACCCTTTGTATATCACGGAGACTGTGCAGTCTTGTTCATTAATTAATTTCTCCTGCGATGGAGAGATTGAATATGCATGCAGATATTTAGCACATTTGTTTATCGTGCTGTTCTTCATCATTCACACAGTTTATTGTGACTCTCACAAATTTAACAGGAAAGTTCATCAGGTAAGAATGCTGGCACACTTGTTAGTCAAAAACAACACAAAAACTTCAGTATAAAAAAATTCTAGTCTAATCTGTCATACTTTATTCTTGGAAGAGATTAAATATCCTCTTCTCATTGCTGTTGCAACTATTAGATATAATCTTATAACATTATATGTAGCTTTTTAATTTTGAAATATTTTCACGTTCAGCTACAGACTTTGACTGCAACTGATGTGAGAACAGTCTCCCACTTTCCAGCATTTGGCTGATTTATACAGAAGATAGACCTATCAGCAGTGAAGAATTATGTATAAAGACGGTCAATAACTTTTGGAAAAATCATATCACAAATCATTAAAAGCATATAAGAGGATATTTCAAGACAGGAATCTAGAACCACTCCTACACTGCAGAAGCCAAGCAAACAATATTGAAACCCACGCTGATTTCACTCTGTGATTTCCATTGGTCTATTTTCAAAAAAAATAAACAACCACAATGAATAATCACAAAGCATGACCTCTATGAAATATGTTCATTAATAAAATACTGAGTCGTTCTGCAGTTAAAGAAACAAACAGAAATTGAAATAGTAAATATCCAGCTGATTAATCACAATAATCATGGACAAAATATTCAAACAAATTAATTTTCCACACAACAATTTTAAGATGACCATATAGGACTGTGAATTCTCTGATGACTGGCACAGACAAATCAAGTTGCTGTTGATCCTCCCTCTCACATTGACCTATGATGAACTAGAGGAACTCTCCTTCCAGACTAGAATTCCACATGTAGAATTCTCATTGTCTTAGAATTATTACGTACGGGAGGCTCAAGAAAAACACGAGAAGAGGAGCTTGAACTCGACTATCAACAGAAGGGATTGCGCATCAGCATTACAGCTTTTCATATCAAAAGCAATTCGTATTTCTTCTAAATTCCTGATGTTCTGAAAAGCTCAATACATGAATGCATAAATTTTAAATTGTTGCTCACAAATATGCTGCATCAAACCAGTTTGCAAAACTGGTGTTTTATAGAAAAATCTAACCAAATAAAAACTGTTTTATACATGTATGAATACAGGAAAACTAAAGCTTGTCACATATAACCTTAATTGTCAATTTATATTATTTCTACAGATTCAAGCACAGAAACCTGGACTCCATCCGTTCTGAAATGATTGGAATTGTAATTGCTTAAACCACATTAATTCCTGTGTACACAAATAGGTATAGTTATAAAAGATCTGTGAGCTGAGTCTCTCTGAGTCTTTTCCACTCTGCAAAATGCCTAAGATGCCAAGAGGGCAGAGAAAGGTATTGGGAAAGCTAAAGCAACTTTAAGATAAACTTACTGATAATGCGGTCTGTTGTTCTCCAGCAAAATGATATGCTAAACTTAAGCAATAAGCAGCTTCTCCTTCCATCTTCATACTACCTCCTAAAGAAAGGATTAAAGTTAGTTACCAGTGTAATCGGAAGAAAACTACACTAGTACAGACAATTATAGAATCATAGAATGGTTTGGGTTGGAAGGGACCTCAAAGATCATCTAGTTCCAAGCCCCCTGCCATGAGCAGGGACATCCTCGACTACACCACGTTGCTTAATGCCTCATAAAACCTTGCCTTGAACACTTCCATAAATGGGGCATCCACAACTTCTCTGGGCAACCTGTTCCAGTACCTCACCACGCTCAAAGTGCAAAATTTCTTTCTTATATCTAATTGAAGTCTACCCTCTTTCAGTTTAAAGCCATTGCCCCTTGTGTTATCACTATATACCCTTCTAAAAAGCCCCTTTCTTGCGGGTTCTTAAATAACACACAGATGTTTAAATATCGTAGTACGCTTTTTCTTCTCCTTATCCTTGCCATTTATCTCTTTCCAAAAATATATAGTGGTAAGTAAAAATAGAGTCTACGGATTTAAACAAAATTCAACAAGAAAGTTCAACAAAGTCAGAGAAAATATCTTCCGGTAAGTAATAGAGTACAATCAATTTAACATGCTGTAATGTTCCCTGTCATGAATTGTTTAATAATACTCATGGTGTCTTCGCATTAGAAAGTCATAGTAGCCTCTCTCTATATATTAATACATAAAATAAAAGTAGCTACAAATACGTAATACACTCCAACATACAAACACAAAATACATGGACTCATACACTTTGCTAATGTGAATCTTAGTGGAACACCAAAAGAGAACTATTAGAAGACCAGGTTCACATCTCTTATTCTCATGGTTATTTTGTAAGCTACTGTAGGCTAGAATAGCTAAAAAAAGGATAACTTTTACTTGCAAGCAGAAGTCATAGAAAATTCTGCACAGGCAGTTGCTAACTAAGGTACATCACACTTTTCCATACCAGGTTTTATTTCACTAATATTGATCTAACAAACACTGCTTGCTAGTCTTTTTATATTGCTCCCTCAAAAGAAAATCATCTAGTCAATACTGAAATTTATATAAATTAATTATATAGATGCTTACTGTATCACACTATAGTCAAAAATTTCCCTCCAGAAATGAGTATCCATTTAAAAAACCGTAGATTAAATCATATTAAAAATAGCCCAAAATCCAGTTTTTCTATTGCTCAATATCCATATGCTCCAACACAACAAAGAGTGGAAAATCAACCTAAAGTGTAATTGCATATTGGGATATTTTGTAAAATGCATAAATAAAAATAGTGGCAATAAACTCAGAGATTATCTACTTACAATTATCAGGCTAGTAAATTCTTTATGTCCAAACACACAGAAACCTACATCTATTCTGAAACTCTGAGTCTTATAATTGCTGAGGCCATAGCAATGCTTTATCTATAGCACTTAATATGCTACTTAAAATTAGGAAAAGTCTGTTACTGAAAAACCTCATGTTCTCTTCCAATATTCAATAATCCCTTAAAAGGCTTAATGAGGCAAAAGGATACAGAAATAGTGTTTCACAGAGGAATAATAAGTGAAAAGTTGCTAGGGATATAAAAAACTACCTTCCTCACTTAAGAACAGTCTGAGAGTCTGAAATGGATACTGAAATGGATACTATCTAATCCTAATTCATAAAATACATAAACACAGATGACGGTCCAGAAGGACAGAATGGATATTACAAATGGCAGCCAGAGCTAGTATGGGTTTAACAAAATTGTTAAAAATGGGCTTCATAGGTCAAGGCTATGGTTCTGGAAAGGGGACTGAGGAATACATCCATAAGAGGCTTCTAAAGCTTAAATTTAAAGAGAAAAATGAGAAGTATGCTGTGCATAGTAATATTTACTAGGTGTCTCAGGAAGCTATGAAAGTGATTGATTTGAAGTAACGGCATTGGAATATCTGCCTGGTCAAAGTAACTTTTGGAAAGGCATCAGATCTATTTTGACAATCTTTTCATTTCCAGCAGTTTTCCCTAGCCACAGGAAGAAATTGATGGGAAACTTCATCAGCAGCCCTTCTAGTTACTACAGCAAGTATTAGTAGCAGCAGTTTTACCGTAGATGTGACTTAAGCATGTATTATAGACAACAGCTGTAGAAAAAGCTAAAAGCTTGTATTTGATCAACAGATGCAGCTAGAAAAAACGGAGAAATTTTTGGGTACACGTCTTTCTTCAGCTGACTAATTGCATTTGTATTCTCAGTATTAAGATACCTACTACCAAGAGAAAAGATCTAGACAAGCAACTCACAAAACAGATCTACTAATATAAATTGTAGATAAAACCAAAATAGGTTACTTAGTGATTTAATTAAAAGAAAAAAAATAGCCAATACAATCATATACACTCACAAATTAAGCATTTGGAAAGAAAATAATTGAATTCTTTCCCCTAAAGTCCTGTTTGGTTTCTTCCCCCAAAATTGCCACATAAAAGCACTTAGATTTCAAATGTGTTTTAAACTATTACTCTTCATGAGATTAGGTAAGATGAGAAATTCTGGTTCTTTAGAATTAATAAAACTCAAAGACAACATAATAAAAAACTTGAAATAGAAATACTTGGCTAGTACTTTTAAAAATAATAAACAGCAAAGTTCACATGGGCTTAGATGCCTGTAAGCTTGTTCAGTTTTTTCAAGAGTATCTGCGGGTCTAAGAGATATGCCTTGGCTTCACTGAATACATTTTATATTTTTTTATAGATTGCTATGTTATACTATCTTCCCAAATAGTTATACATTTATTTGTGGCAAAACTTATTTTAAAAACTGGATTATTTTTTTTTCCATTTTTGATAGTTTAATTCTATCTATCCCAACTACTATTCAAAGACTGGCTAACAGATTAATGTTGGGCATATATTATTAAATTTAAAAAACCTAACGTATCTAGTGATAAATATTGAATTAATATTATATATTAATTGTATGTGCAATTCATATGCAAAATATGCCCCTTAAGGAATACCATGAAAGGCTCTTGAATTGCTGTGCATGGAAAAAGATGATTATTTGAGACCTTCTATTTCACTTCTGAGAAGCACTCCAATAATCATCTAGGAAAAGTAGGCCTGTAGAAGTGGACATTTAACAGCATCTTTTGAGAAACAACTGTTATTAAGATTTCTGAAAAATCTGGGAAGTCATAGGTATTTTCATAAAGCCAACTTGTAAGCTTTGCCTTCTCTTTTCTGTTCCCTCTCACGTGTAAGAAATGCTCCAGAGCGTGGTATTTCTAGCTGATCAACATCTCGTGTTATATATTACATTCAAATACTACTGTAATTTCACCCAATTTTATATTCACACACAGACAAAGCTTTGTACAGTCATTATCTACAACAGAAAGGCAATCAGGATTAGTCAGCATGGATTTAAGACAGGAAATTCAAGCTTCATCACCCTGATAGCCTTCTAGGATGAGGCGACTGGATTGGTGGACGAAGGGAAAGCAGTGCATGTTGTTTCTTTCCATTTTAGCAAGGCTTCTGACACTGCCTCCCATAACATCGTCATACACAAGCTGATGAAACATGGCTTAGACAAATAGACAGTGAGGTAGACTGAAAACTAGCTGAGCTGCTGGCCTCAAAGGGCTGTAAGCAGCAGCATGAAGTTCAGTGGGAGGCCAGTCACTAGTGGGGTACTCAGGGATCACTACTGGCACCAACACTTATATCTTCATTAACGACCCGGATGGTGTGACCAAGCACACTCTCAGTGTGTCTGCAGACAACACAAAATTGGGGGGGAATGGTTGATCTACGAGGTAGGCAGCTGTGCTGTCATTCAGAGGAACCTCAGCAGGCTGGAGAACCAGGCTGATGGCAGTCTTGTGAAGTTTAGGAAAGAGAAATGCAAAGTGCTGCACCTGCAGAGGGATAACCCCATACACCAACCCAGGCTGTGGGCTGTCTGGATGGAAAGAAGCTTGGCAGAGAAGGACCTGGGTCTCCTGGTGGACAGCAAGTTGCCCATGAGCCAGCAATGCACACTCATGGCAAAGGTGACCAATGGGATCCTGGGCTGCATCATTGCAAGCAGTCAAGGGCGGCGATCCTTTGCCTCTAGTCAGCACTGGAGAGGTCACCCCAGGAGTGCTGCGTCCAATTCTGGGCTCCTCAGTACAAGAGAGTGAGGGACATAATGGAGTGTGTCCAGCAAAGGGCTGCAAAGATGAGTAAGGGACTGGGAGCATGTGTCCTAGGAGGAGAGGCTGAGGGAGCTGGGACTGTTGAGACCACAGAAGAGAAGGCTCAGGGAGGATTTAATCAATATGCCCAAATTTCTAATGATAGGGTGTAAGAGGAGGAAGCCAGGCTCTTCTCAGTGGTGCTCAGTGACAGGACAAGAGGCAATAGGCACAAACTGAAATTCCACCTGAACTCAACAAAATATTTCTTTATTATGAAGGTGTTTGAACAGCAGAAAATGTTTTCCAGAATGGTTATGGAGTCTCCACCTGTGAAGACCGTAAAAACTTGACTGGGCAGCCTGCTCTAGCTGATCCTGATCATCTCTAAAGATCTTTCTTCCTACCTCAGCTATTCTGCAATTCAGTATTTTTTTTTTACTTCAGATTTAAATGTATTTACATGTATTAAGATATAAGGAAGAAATCTTATTTGATATGACAGAATACTGTTTTTTTGCAAGTACTAAATAACTATGTAGAGTGAAAAGGTAGTGTCCAGCAGATAATATCACTGAAAATCCACAGTGACTAGCCAATCAAAATCAGTGAGCTGAGCTTCCATCAGTGACCGCCCTTTCTTATTATTGGTTCACTGTTTTATACTATTATTCTCACAAGGTTGTTTTTTTGGACATAAAGCTTTCAGGAGTCTAAAAAGATTCTTTGTTGTCAGCAAGAAGGCATTTCTGCTTTAGCGAGATCTGGAAGTGTATTGATAGCATTTGTCTTTGAATTTCATAGGAAATAATCACCCAGTCAAACACTTGACAATTTTCACTTTACTCTTGGGAAAATCATGGCATGCACATCAAAAAGGAATGTGAAAGCATTACTTTCCACCTACCTTCTTTTGCTGTTTTTAAAGCTTTTATTAGCGTTTTGATGGCCTGTTGGTGTTCTTTATTTTCTAGCATTTTGTCTGCTAGTAATGTATAAATTCTCCAGAGATGCTCACATGCCAGTGAATTGTAAGTGTGGCCTGTCTCATCCTTCCATGTCGAACCCTCTGTTAGGTGATAAAACGCTTCATAATGCTCAGCGGCTTCCCTGACATGACCTGAAAAACATCATTCATAATTACAATCTGTGTAATCAACAAAATTTTTAAAAGTTATTGAATTTCTCTTTAGACAGTAAGTTGCAGCCAATCATTTCACAGATTTTTTCAAGAATCTTCAACATGTAACTTACAGGTCACTGGAAAATACTGCCAAATTTCAATTACCAGTAATGCTGCAACTTAAACTTACACATTTTAAAGTAGCTTTCCTTTGTAGATTCACGGTTATGGGAGGTCACGATCCCAAGGATGTCAAGTCAAAATTTTATAGAAAATACATCTATTATAGATTCATGAGATCCAAAAAGGCAATATTCATATTTCAAAATCACATCTATACATAAATAATCACAAAAAAAATATTGCAAAACCTGTGCTGAAAGATTTGAAATGTGGAAGATAGTATCAAAACCGTGTGGGGGAAAAAAATATTTATTCAAGTAAATTAATTGATAAAAAAATAATTATCATGCAAAGGAATTTATTCAACAGTTATTACGAGGCCAACTCTGGTGAGTTTATGTAGTAAATTTACTGGAAAAGTATTAACCACTGATAGATTAATTTGTGAGCCTGAAGTAATACACTTAAAGATGTCTGAGTAACTTACATTTGAAGACCTTTAAGGCAAAGGAAAGTTTGAAGATAAAGTTCATTTCATTTGAACATGAGAGTAGTTCCTCCCTCCCCCTCTACCTTTAGCTAGATTTATCTCTGTGTATACATGTAATCTAGGAGTTTTCCACACTTTTTGAACAATAGAAATTCAAAGCCCCTTGAAAGAACAGAAAAGCTTTTCCTTATACATAAGAAAAACTGCTGGGAAGCAGGTAAGATGAGACAATTTACATTAAAAAAAATAAAACAGTACCTTGTTTTTACCAATGTTCTACAGCAAGGAGAACCATGAAAGTGACCTTTCCTTCATAACTTTGTGTGTGTGTGTGTGATGAAGGAATCTTGTCCCATAGATCATCAATATATCAATTGCTATTTCTATTAAAAGCTGAAACAAACCATAACCTAAGTTTGTTTAGATGTGTTTGCAGTTTATATCTCTTCTGAAACATGATTTGTAGGGAACGATTACTGTTTTGCAGACTGTTTTTACAGTGCTGCATTCAAGTTACAAAAAGAACCAGGAAGAAGAGTTATTTCCCAATTGTAGGAAAGGAATGGAAAGAAGTTTGACAAGGACCTCCTTTAAGCATTCCAAGAGAAAATGCGGATAGCTCCCCAGGCCTCCAGCCAACCTAGAGGCAGGCAGAACAGCTATGACAGATTCCTTTTATTAACTAAATTTAGATTTGTCTTTTGCATATGTTACCCTTTCATAAGGATGCTTTCAACTTTGCAATGTAAAACATAACCCTTATCTTTATTAGAATTAAATTTATTTTCATATTAAGCTTCTCTGATGATTAAAATGAGTTCAACTAAAACTGACAAGCACAAGAAACGTCTCTTTCAAAGCAGCAGCTAATTAAATGAGACAAATCATTTTAAGGCTCTACAACCTGCGATTCATGTCAGAGTCCCAGAGGGCACAACAAAGTGCTGAAGAGTAAAGTGCCAGGTGAGAGGGGAGACAGTAGGTTTTATTCAGTTCCGCTCTAGCTAGGGACGGGTATCGGAGATGGCCTAAAACACTGAAAAAAGTCTTATTGCCAGAGTAGCTATCAGACCCTGTAAAAAGACAGGAAAAGATCTATTTATTCTTTCCAAACTATCACATTCTTGACATCAGACTGAACAAACAGAAACGTAAAATGAAGTTACCATGACCAGTACAAGCTGTTGAAGGATTCACTGACAGTATATGTAACAGGAAACAGAGATGCAGACTTGCTAAACTCAAATGAAAATTCTTGTCCGTTCTAAAGAGGCTTCCAATTTGAATTTGAGTTTCTGCCTATTCAGTCCAGCTAACTTCTTAGGGAAACTTCAACTCAGAAGTCAACAGAATTCCAGTTATTCAAGTTGCTAAAAGCAGATTTAAGATATTAATTGAAGAAGCTGGTGTTGGCTTTGTGACAAATGACAAAGTTGAGTTGAAATTTAGTATTAGTAGTTAGATCTAGCCTTTTATTCACTTGGATACTCATAAGCACATACTGACTGCTTCTCAGAATCTCCCTAAAGTTTATTAATCAACTGATTGTCCTTTTGAAAGAATATTGACATACATTTAAGTCATTTAGTTTCACTACATATGTAATGTATTTTTTAGAATAATAGATTTTTAACTCATGCGTAACTCAAAAACTTCTAGTAAGAATAGGAAGCAGCAAACAAATGAATTATCACCTGGATACATAATTTGAAGCTGAACACAGTGTCTGAGTTTCTCCTAAGACTTTCTAATAATCTCTTAACAGGATGCATAATTTAGGTAAGTAATACCTGCAACCTTCAGAACTATTGTTTAGATTGTTAGAACTATCAGGTATGGTAATTTTTACCCATGCTTCCTCACTTGCAGTATCCCCTTGAGAAAGTTTCTGTCAGACTAGAAATTGAACTCATATATTCCATGGACCCCATAGTTCTTAAGAGTTGACCTAACCATAAGAGCTGTGACCTGACATTCCTTTTGCCAGATCTCAGTGAAACCTCTTTAGAGACAATCCATCTACATCAAGCTTCAAAATACAAAAGTAATACAATCTTTTTTGAAGTATTCAAGTGGAACTAAATTACATTTGGCTTCACTGAACTACCAAGAAAGATTATGAAGTAAAAAGTAATAAAATCTTCTCACAGAAATACCAAAAAGATGACACTAAGCAAAAAAATAAAATACCTGTTCATTTCCTAAGTGAGGGAGAGATGGAATCCCTGACCTGAAAGCCGTTACATGGCTGGGAGTTTACTTGAAAGAGTCTTCAGTAGGCAGTACTAGCTACTTGTAGACCCCTCAAATTCACGGAAGGTAAAACATTTTAGATTTTGGAATTCATTCTTCTATCAAAATAATCTGACGTCCCTTGTTCCCATTGGCAAATGACATATTGACCTATCTCTTTAATCCATTATGTTTATGCGAACCTCAAACACTGTGGAAAAATAATGTTTTCCAGGGGTAGCAAGTTTATTCACTGACATGAGTCTGTTCAGCTGGAATTGATCTGGCCAGTGCATTCCAATTTTTAAATACTGAACTACTGCAACTGTTAGGCACAGACATAGGTATATGCTGTCTGAAAATCTTGAAAAACATTAAAAGAAAGTAATAAGCCAATTACAGAACATTTCTGAGAGTATTTTCATCTCACCTGAGCAGTGACAAGGCAGAGTCTTAAATGACTTTTATTATCAACTGAAAGAAAAGAAAGGGAGGAAAAAAAGCTAAACAAGAGAAAAAGCAATCAGTAGGAAAATGGCTTAGAATAGTTTGTAGAAATGTATCTTTTATATCTCTAGGAATTCAAAGAGAAAATGCAGAAGGTGTTTCTAGGAAATCTATATTTGAAAGATCTATTTGCAAAATGTTACAGAAAGCAGTATAGCTATTTTCAGTTGGCAACATTAACAGCAATTGCATATTTCTTTTCTCACTGCCATGCAGAAATTAGCTCTGTGTATACTAACTGGAGTTGGAGAATCTCTGATATCTCTTACGTGTTTATAAAAAATCAAAAAACAGGAAACTCTTACAACATATACACTACCACTACTAAAACGTTATAGTTTAATTTAGCTCAGGGCATAACAAAAGAAACCCCATCAGCAATAGTTTAATCTTAAATATGGGAGATAAATATTGTCACAATGTGATTTTGGGAGTAAAGAATCAGTTATAAACAATTATATGAACGTAAGACATTACTCTGCCACTAACAATATCAAATTTTAGAAACTACTCTTATTTTCATAGCAACTATATGTGTATGCACAAAGATTTGTGCTACAGTTTTCACTGAGTTGCTTAGAAGTGAAAAAAACAAATCTATTCATTCAAACAAAAGATCTCAATGTAATTTCGTAAATACTGAAGAGAAACGTTTTTACATTATCTAAAACTTCCTTTATAATTCCCCTTCCTAAAACCCACTCCAAAAGTATACACTTGTTATATCAAAATAGATATCAAACCAAAAAGGGTATATATGGAGACTCCTATTTTGCCTTTTTTTTTAAGTAGAAAGATTGACTAGATATTAACACAAATGGGTTTAAATGTGAAGCTGCCATAAAAGTAGGCACATAAATGTAATTCTCCCAGCCGCTATTTTGATGCACATTTTTGATTCCATGAATATTTTATGAAATGGCCCAAACTAAAGCCATATAACATTCCTGCATTACTGATGCTTGCGCCCGTAAGCTACAAACATTAGAGGCATGATTGAGTGCATTAAAATGAACTCATTCAGCAGTGCATTGATTACTTGAAGGAGGAAAAAAAAGTTACTCCCACTTAAGAAAACAGCACACAAATCTGAAGTTTTCAATACTGAAATTAAAGATAGCAAATTTGAATAATGTAGTATTTAATAAAGGCAGTGCAAACCTATCTAGAATTCTCTATACACAGACCTGACATTAATTAGGTGAGATGTTAATTAGGTCCACAGATTGCTTCCAGTAGTGTACAGGTAATTTAAAATGTCACAATCTGCAAAATGCAGTGACTGACCTGTTCTAGCTCCATGCCTCAGCAATACTGAGAACACATAATGATTTCCTTTTCTATCAGCTCCTACATTTACCAACGAAAATAATGACACAGAAACAATTGCAGAAGAAAGTGACAGGTCTGTTAGGTACATTTCTTCAGCAGCACTAGTATAAGCAGAAAGCACATTTAATTCTAAATTGTAAACAGTTGTTGAGGACTTGAGAAAACATTCCACTTCAGCTTAAAACAACAACCTAAAGGAATACTTTACGTATACTATAGTATATTTTAATCTAGAACTAGAACATCTTTTGTTATCAGTTATTTCACTGTACAACATGGACATAAAATCTGCTCGAAGCAACAGTTAATGGTA